ATTTGCTCTGACATGCACTGTGAGCTGTAGGGTCTTATGTAGACAGGTGTGTGGCTTTCCTAATCACGTCCAATCAGTATAATCAAACACAGTTGGACTCAAATGAAGGTGTAGAACCATCTCAGGGATGATCAGATGAAATGGACAGAGCCTAAGTTAAATATATGAGTGTCACAGCAAAGGGTCTGAATACTTATGACCATGTGATATTTCAGTTTTTCTTTTTTAATAAATCTGCAAAAATGTCAAAAATTCTGTGTTTTTCTGTCAATATGGGGTGCTGTGTGTACATTAATGAGGAAAAAAATGAACTTAAATGATTTTAGCATATGGCTGCAATATAACAAAGAGTGAAAAATTTAAGGGGGTCTGAATATTTTTCGTACCCAGTGTATAGACCTATGCAGGTATGTATTGTATATAGGTGCCAGGGTAGTCAAATTGATACAAACGAGTAGATTACACACACACACACACACACACACACACACACACACACCCTTCTACATGTTAGGTGATGCAATATTATAGAAAAAGAAAAGAGGCATCTGGCATTTCTCATTTTTCTTCAACTTCAACATGTTTGGCTTCAGTGTATGAGTAATAATATCAGAGTCACCCATGAAGAAAAACATATAGCAGTATTTTATCTTTTAAAACCAACTTACAAAGTTTGTTAAAAGGTGCCGAAATCTCTTACAACTATTTGATCTCAGGGTCTACATGATGTACTTCTATATTTGTGATGTGCTGTCTTGTGTAGATTTGCATTGTGTGGTTTGAATGATTATGGATTTTGTGTTTGTGTTCTGACCGGCCTACTGATGTAAATAGCTTTAAGCTATAATCAGGTATGGTGCATCAAATGCTAACATTTACTGTATGTTTTAACCATTCACTGTCCCTTTTAAATAAATAACTATGAGCCATGCGTGTGTATTTATAATTTAAAACCCTCAATGTCCACTCTGAATGAACTTCTACGGACATTTTTCATCTGATGACTTGCAGAAGACTTTGTTTTCCACAGTAATGAGGTTTTTACTGATATGACAAACTGTCTCTTGGCAGTGCTTGTTTGTCCTTGAAGGTCTGAGTATTTCAAGCATGTCTGTGGAGACGAGTCTCCCTCTGCTGTTCATTCTCATGACATGCAGTTATCAAAGAGTATGCCCTGTACACTTTGTAATGTAAATTATACTATTCTGTTGTATGTGTGTGTGTGTGTGTGATAGTCACCATGAAAGCTGCTGTTGTCTGTCAGGAAGTGCCGGCGGTACTGCGGTTCTCCTTTCCTACTCACAACTCGGGAACTCATGGCGAGAGGAGGAGGAGAAGGGACGCAGGTGGACGGGCAAATGGACGACCTATTTAAAAAAAAAGAATTGATATAGATAATGGCTGGATGGAGAATAGAATAGAATAGAATAACTCCACAGTCCAAAGACATGCACTCTGCGTTAACTGACTTTAAATTGCCTGTAGATGTGAATGTGAGTGTGACTAGTTGTCTGTCTGTGTCAGCCCTGTCATAGACTGCTGGCATGTCCAGGTGGTAACCCCCCATTCCCACCCCTCTTCAGGATAACTGGTATAGATAATGGATAGATGGATGGATGGATAATATTGTATGAAAAAATAAGTGCACCTGATATGTGGTGCTACGAGCCAACTCACAAATCAAGACAAACAACACATAATGTCTGCATGGGGAGCAATACAGTATGTTTAAAGAGAAGGGGAAAATTGCTTCTTTTCCACACAGGGAGACAGAACTGCTATGACGGGAAAAGGAATTTTTTGCTGATTTAGCATTTCAATTAAAGTCTTCATTAACTGTGGGTCTTCTGGTAGCATTTACTAAAACAATGCTGCTAAATGTGTTACTGCAGCTCTTAAACTTCAGACAATAGGTGTATAGTGACTTAGTACATTGTGTACTCCATACTAAAGCAAAGAGTCATCTGCATTTACTCACATCATGTAGGTTTGGAATTCAAGACAAAACCTTGAGTCACTGTCCTGTGCAATTTTTGTCTATATTTTGCATCTATTTTGAAATTTCTTCTTTTGTGGTGGTGACAGCACAATCACCTCTCACTACAGTATATTATGTGGTTGGGATCAACATGTAATGGAATTAAATGAGCAGCAGTGAACAGCTTGTAGCTACTTGCTCTGCCTTGAAAATACTCTCTCCACCTCCTGTTTACCAAACTCTCAATATATCCTACTGGGTCCACCTCTGTCCATTTTCTCCCCCTTGAATTTCTACAACTATCTCTCAACATGTGTTCTCATTTATCTTCTTTATGTTTCTCCTTACCATTATTCCTGGATTCCAAATTTTCCACTTCCTCCTCCTGATTCCTTCCTTTCCTGCAACTTGTTTCATTGCTTAGTGTTTCCCCACCTGTTGCTCATCTGTCTTTCTGTCATTTACTGCTTCCCACTACAAACTCTCTCTTGCACACACACATGAACACGCAGGAGTCGTATAGATCTGGAAAAGCTCCGAGTCTCTGGGACAGTTATTGGTGTTGGGTGCCAGCTAACCTGAGGAGAGGTCACTGTCTGGTTGAACTCAAAGAACTGGGGGGTCAAGTATCTTGGAGGTGAAAGTGCTTTCCTGTGACCCTGTCACTGCCTCGTTTTAAAACACAGAAGCCTGTGATGCATGTGGTATTTATGACAGACCAAACACAAAGAGCCATTCCTTCTGTTAGTTCTGTATGGCACCAATGTGCTGATGAATCAGTGTGTGCATCTAGTGCTCAGCCAACATGAACAGCATTTTAGTATCAATTTAATGTTTTACAATGCTTTTTAGAGTATATAAGAAGAATTATATGTTGAGTCCTCTGAATAATATAAGAACAGTGTTTTTGTCATCAGCAATATTTTAGCATCATTCATTAAATATCAGGGTGCCACCGTGATTCAGTGGTTAAATGTCACCTCACAGCAAGAGGGCTCCTGGTTCAAAACCTTGCAGCCAACAGGAGCCTGTGTAGAGTTTGCATGGTTTCCTTATACCTGTGTGGGTTTTCTCAGAATACTCCAGCTTCCTCCCATAGTCCAAAGTCCATGTTAGGTTAACTGGTGACACTAAATTGCCCGTATATGTGAGTGGGAACGGTTGTCTGTCTCTATGTCTATGTGACCTGTGCAGGATAGCTCCACCTCTAGCCCAATGTCAGCTGTGAATTATTGGAGCTCCCAGGATAAGCAGCGTAGATAATGGATGGATGGATGATTAAATATCTAGCTGTACTCTGACGACTCAAAGTTGGCATTGATAGTGGTACAGAAAAAGAAATTCAAAATACTGTGCAAAAACAAAACAAAATTAAAACATGGGAGCAAAAAGATACACTTTTACAAAACATGGAGATCACATGAGGAAAGCATTAAAAGACAAACAACAACCGTAAAGAAGAGTTGAAAAAAGTTTTATAATATTAAGAAGAGCAATGAAATCTGATGCTTTCGTCCAGAGCCTAATACAGCTTTGACTTAGTATCATCATTTCTGCTTAACAATAAAACATTAGTAGTGTAGAAGATTTGAAAACTAATGTCTATAATGACTGTAATCTTGGTGCAGAAAGTCATCTGAGGCTTTACCTCATGACAACTGAGTTCTGCTTCAGCTTATCCTGCAATGTCTTTTAGCTACTCTCAACTCACTGCAGAGCACAGCCACATGTCTTGCACCTTAATTATACAATAATGCTTCTAAATTACTGTTTGCTTTCATAACAGAGCCCAAATTAGAGATAGAAGTTAAGAAGAGGGAGATGACTGGGGGCATTGTTTGAATAGCTTTAATGGCACGTCAGGTCTTGATATAGTTAGATTATATGAATCCACCACAAACATGAAGTCACATCGCAAGAAAAAAATCACCAGACTGTGCAAGTCAACACACTTTATAAACGTTGTGTAAAGACAGAAATATAATATGATCACAGTCCAACAACTATAATGCATGTGTATCTGAATTTACGAACACAAGCATAACTACTGAAATATTGAAAGAAACAGCATCAGTCCGGTTCAATTATTGGTTGTAGTGTACTGATTTAAACATACAAGGCCTGTTTTGACTAGTGATAGCCATGTATCACTGTCACAATGTTACCAATTTAAAAAATGAGTCAATGTTTAGGGGAACATGCTGTCTAGTCTAGTTTTAGATGAGCAAATTGATACCACCCTCAGGTTTATAAAGCTACAGACAATGACAGCTTAGCTTAGCATATTGGAAATAGTGAGAAAGTAGTTAATCTGGCTATACGGTAGCAAAATCAACATACCAGCACCTCAGCAGTTCACCAATTTACATGTTAATTCTCCTTTGTTTAATTAGTACAAAAACTAAAAAGCTAACAGAATGCTAGCTATAGTGTCCTTACGGAACAGAGAAGAGTGGTATTGAGCTTGAATAAGCATATTTGTCAAACTACAGTGACAACAACACAATAATAAAAATTTGCATACGGTTTATAAACCAAACCAGTAAAAACCAAATGTACTGTCATGTATGTGTATTATGTCCAGGTTGTGCAGGTTAGTAAAGTGACTGCTTCTCCTTTTCTGACTGCATGTTACAGTGGCCTTATCTATAGGAATGGTCAAACCTCAGGGGCGTACAGTTTGTTCTCTTCTGCATATTGGACAAGGAAAGAAAGCAGCTTAAATATAAATGGTTTGCTGTCAGACTGCCCGATGAGCCACTCAGTCTCAGGGCCTGACTGGAAGTAGGTCAAGGCAGCCCCCAAGGTAAAAGTTTTGTGGTAGCAGATATTCAAATCTAACACAGTTTACAACATATGAACCAGAGATTTTAGCACTTTTGCTTTTCCTATTTATCCTGAATGTAAAACACATTTTATCTGAGAGCATACCAATGCATTACAGTCTGTAGACATCCATGCAGTGCCAGTATCGAAAGTTCCTATCTCTATCTGGTTGAATTATCATTGGCATGTTACACCTTCTGACTGTGGAGGTAACACTGTGTCTTAAAAAAACAGCTATGTACTAATAATTTGCTAACAGAAAACTTTTATGTGCAACTTCAGTTACATTTTAACTTCGTGGTTTAACTTCAGCTGACATGACATCATGTAGTTGTGTGCATAAATGTTTTCCTTGTACAATAAGCATTTAAAACCAGCATTTCAGGTGTGTTCACTTTTGGTTTTACCTCCAAATTAAGCTGCTTAGACAATCTGCTAAATCTTCAAGTTGTTTACAACTTGTCTGATGATCTGACTGCTTCTGTTTTTTTGCCTTGAGTTCAAGGTTGGTCATTTTCTATATTAACAGTTTTTTTCAATACTCCCCATACAGAGACCAAAACCAAGGGTGAATTGCCTCCAATCACTGTTCAGTGTGCCAGTTCATCTTACTCGTCTGTGTCCTAGACCTCCGCTGATGTTCATAAATGATTAAAACACATCAGTGAAACTCACCACTGCACTGGGTGATATTTCCTCATTACACCAACACCAAAGCCTGATATTTGTTGAGAATATCCAGAGATCTTGTGCATGGACAGTTGACTCTTGCTTACTTCAGATGCTGTAAAAAGTTACTGCTGTTTGGAGCCTTTGGGACAACACACACACACACAAAATCAGGGTGTTGTGTTTTGTAATGAGGAAACATCACCGAGTCGCTATGTTTTTCCTATGACACAGATGAATAAGCTAATTCAAGACTGACAGACTGACAGATATTAACCATGAGCGGAGGCAAATCATTGCTGGTTTTAGTCTCTGCATGTGGATTGTTGAAAATACTGTCAGTATAGAAAAAGATCTGCCTTAGGAGTTGAAAAGTTTGGGTTCCCGTGTTCAGTCAGCTAAAGGTACAGTTTTTCAATAATTAAAACTTGTGTAGTTTATATTATTTAAAGGAGGTAACTTTGTGAATGGTAAGGAACAATGACCTACAGATCCTTACCAATTTGGATATAACAGTAAACTACTTTTTTGGTTGAGTGTTTCAGATAATTATGTTTCAGTAATAATCCTATTAGAATACAAATACAGCTGCATTAAATATGCATTTTAATATATCACTGAAAGGTACCTAGAGATAAAGACAAGAGTTAAAGCCATGAAATGTACATCCTTACTAGTGCCCCACTGTGATAACAATCCGACTAATGAATCACCTCTCATATACAAGTGCATCTAACAATGACCTTCTCATGACACGCAGACACAAACAGAGCAGCATCTGTCACTCTGACACATGCCAAAGAACACTTTGCTTGGACTTAATGAGATATACAATAGCTGTTATATTTTATTTTGTGAAACCAGCTGCCATTAATGCTGAGTGATTTTAAAAATCTGCATATGTCTCACTGGCTTCCATCTGATCACGGTATCTCGACGAACAATTCTTCTGACATATGAACATATTTCGTGTCTGTTCATGTCTTGTGTTTTCTTTCCTTTTGGTGACATTAGACTGTTACAACAACCCCATACCTGCCTTAAAGCTCTAAATACACTTTGATGCCTCTGTAAACACAAGCAGAAGCAAAGGCTCATATCCAACTCTCTAAGTACCTCCCTTAACTGCAAGTCACTTGGGACAGTTAAGCACTATGCTGTTTTACAAAGTCAATGAGTAGCTTGTAATTGCTTGTTAAGCAGTTATCAGAACTGAGAGTAAACCGTCTTAGTCGGCTGGTGGCTAGAACAATAGTTTTACAACACAGACTGAGTGCTCCCTAACTCACTGATACAGTCCAAGCGATCGGCTTTTGGACGTTTACATATTTTTTGTTCTTCATGCTTCAGCACATTAATTTGGATGTAAAAAGATGGCGCTATGGAAAGAGGAAAGTGTGGGGAAAGAAGGAACAGGATCTGTCGAACATGCTGCTAGTGGGCACAGTGGCATTTATGATGATGGGAATACAAAAAGCACTTGCTGATGTACACGAGTCAAAGGCCAAACTCATTAATATGATGACTCCATGTGTATTGAACACGTAAACATTAAGTGCTATGTTTTTAAAGGGTTGTACCTCCCACACAGTTCTTTCTATATTGAGGTAAATATACTGAAATTAATTGCCAAAATACAGTCATCAATGAAAATAATATTTAGTTGCAGCCTGAAATCAAAACCTTGAAGGATAAAAATAGGACCCCCAGCTGGTGTATGGAAATAGACAGTAAAGAGATAATAGGTTTCATTAATTGTTTGTAGGAATACAAACTGTAGTTCTGCATTACACAGTGAACAAACCCAAGTCATACCACCCCTGCGCACTCATATCCTCAAAGATACACACCCCTAAAACAAACACATAAAACTGAAACTTGATTTTATAGAGATCGTTTCCAGTTTGTAGCAACATATTACAAATATTATCACACTAGAATACTTATGGATGCTACATTAAAGTGCCACTTCTCACCTTTAATCAGTTTAGATTTGGTCTATAAAATATCTGAAAATAGTGAAAAATGCAGATCACAGTTTCTCAAAGCTCAGTGTGGCATCTTCAAACCAACTGTTCAAATACAAAGATAATCATATTTATAATGACACAAAACTAAAAAAATGCTGCAAATTCTCATATTTTAGAAGCATAAATTAAAAACAAAACTTATCAAAATGTCTTAAATGATGACTTTTCTGGCCTTTCAAACTATCTGACCTGAGTGGCCATGTATTTTGTCCAGCCAGTGCTGTTTCAGTAAGCCTCTGACCTGATAAGGAGACAGAGTGCAGTGAGGTTACTGAGGGGTCAGTGCTGTGATGCAGAGCTAGTAAAAACAAATACTGCAAAAAGCAGAATCTCATCTGCAAAACTCCTGTTTCTATAGGGACAGAATATCAAGTTTATGGCATGTTTTTAAAAACTTTTTTAACTTTCATGTGTGCACATTTGAGTGAAAGAACATGTGTGTGGTGGAGTCGCGTTGCTTTACCAGAGAATTGAGGGGTGGGCGAGGTCAAAAGTCAAACCCTCAAATCTATTTCAAATAGAGATACCCCCAACTCTTACTCCTGTTTCTACTCTTTAGTTTAACTAGCAGGTTCTGGGTTGAAACTGTCTGTGTGTTCTGCTTAATGTCTTCATTGACAAGAAAGAACTGCTTATTTACTGCTGGAGTGAGTTTAGCCTCCATAGCACATCAGCTTCTATCAAGAGCGTCCAGTACACTGACAGTGTACTGACATCTGTCTCTTGCATACAGTACCGCAAAGTGACAGTGTGTTCATTTGATAAAATAATAGAATAATTTAGTAATGTGGCATCAGAAGGTCACTCTCTGCTTTTTATATTTCTGTCCTTTGCCTACACATTCACCTTCATATACAGTACATTCACAGTTTGCTTCATTCAATCCCAAACAGTTCACCCTCAGTCCTCCACCCTTCCTTTCCACCAAAAAGCTCCAATTATTCATGAGGGATCACAGCACCCACAAAGAGTCATGTTTCCACTCCTACAACACTACACCAGCAAGCTGATACACTGTTCACAATATGCCAAGTCTCACAATAACAAGGGAGTCACTTTACAGCTGATGCATTCCTACACACACACACACACACACACACACACACACACACACACACACACACACACACACACACACACACACACACACACACAGCCTCTACAGTGCATGTGTGATAAAACAACTCCCCAGTGTTATAGTTCCTTACCAATGAGTGTTTATTGAAACAAATAGCTGCCTCATTTAAAGCTAAAACTCAGTTACCAAGGGCAAACTGCACATTATTAAAAGTGGCTGAGGCCTGTGCACCTGTACCAAGTTCCAAGCTTCAGCAGGTCTGCCTGACAAAGAAGACCCATGGGATGTTGACAGCAGTCTGCAAGGTTTATCACACAGGAGCAGAGATAGAGAGCTACTTTTGCATTTTATGAGAGCATCTCAGCGAGTGTCACATCAGCTCTTTGTCTCTTTAAATCTCTTTGTCTTTCACACCCAGCCTAGCACACAACCCACTCAAATCAAATGAAAACAATCCCCAAGGACTCTGCTCTCGGACGGGGGAGTGCCCCATCTCTTTCTCTCTGGGATGGCCGCCGGCTGAGTGTAATAAAGGCCTTTGTTATGTTGCCCTGCTGCAAATCTCTGTTGCTACAGCACAATGGCAAGGAGCACCGAAATGTGAAATGCATGCAGCAGAAAATACTTTCTCGGTCACACAGATGAATTATTGACTCTACTGTCAAACAAGACAAAGTACATGGCAAAAATATGAAAGTCATCACATCAGCACAGGCAATTTATTCCTGTCAAAATGATCCAAGAATTAAAAAAAAAAGTTTTGAGACAGATTACCTGCGACTTACCTACAGTGGTACAATAAAGACGAGCACTGACATGCCATGTGTATTTACTGTATTTTATCTGTCCAGGCACAGGTTTACTGGGTGCATGTCTGCTTGGATACTGTACACAGTATCCTTACCAAGAGAAATTTTAAAGTGACAGCTAACTGTGCTAGATTTCTATAGTCAGAAAAGGGCACAGTTACATTCCATGTTATAATAGCAAAACTGCTCTTATTAGCTATGACCCATGCTGTTTCTTTTAAAATTGTGATTATCTGCTGTCATTTATTTTATTTGTGTATCACATAAAACATCATGAACTTACTTCTATCCCTTTAGTTTCAGGTTTTGAAACCACGTCATCAGCTTCCTCACAAAATCCTGCTTTCACTAGAACAGTAGTCCTTCAGCCACTGAACAGCCATGGCACAAATGTAACATAAGTCGGAGATAGTCCCAGTTTGATTTCAGACAGAGAGAAGGTCCCAACTACTTCTGTGGTGTGGCCAAGCACCCAGCACTACATCAAGTACTGAGCCTTTTCAAATAACTACTACTGGTGTGGGACCAGTGGATCTGGGAAAACCTGGAGTGGATGTTGGAGCGGACTACTTTGCCGCAAGACAATATAGTTTACTCACTCACTGCAGCCTTCTGTTTAAATTTAGTAGCCAAAAAGAGGAAAGACACAAATTAAAATGCATCAAAGATTAAGTAGGCTGACCTGAAACAAAGGGAATAAAATGCCTGTATTTACTTATGTACCATCCATCCATCCATCCATCTTTATCCGCTTCATCCGAGACCAGGTCACGAGGGCAGTAGCCCGAGCAGAGCCTCCCAGACTTCTCTCTCCCCACACACCTCCTCTAGCTCCTCAGGAGGAACCCCTAGCTCCTTCTTCATGGAGCTTATGTACCACTGTGACAATAAATTATTTTTCCTTCTTTTAATTGAATGGGGTGTTAATTATCATATAAACAATGTTGTAACAGTCACCATAATTATGAAGAGTAAGTGGTCCAAAATCCTCTCATGTAATTCCAACAGATTTCAGATCTTCTTGCTGCTTTGAGTCATTACGTAGCGGTCCCAAGGTTAAACCTGTAAAAACAATGAGTAATGAGAAAGGAGGCACACACAACACCATCCATATTAACGGGATGTTGAATGTGTCTCCAGCTTCAAATTCCTGGAGACCCACACCTCAAAGGCTCTGTCCTGGACCACCAACACCTGCAGCCTGGTTAAGAAGAATCACCAGTACCTCTTCTTCCTAAGGACACTAAAGAAGAACCACCTGTCTTCAACCATCCTGGTGAACTTCTACCGCTGTGCCATCGAGAGCATCCTGACCAGTTGTATCACAGTATGGAAACTGCTCTGTCTCCGACCACAAGGCGTTGCATCGGGAGGTGAAAACTGCCCAACACATCACAGGGACTCCACTTCCAGCCATTGAGGGTATCCACAGGGAACGCTGTCTCCAACGTGTTCGCAGCATTCTCAAGGACTCCTCTCACCCTGCTCACAAACTGTTTGACCTCCTGGCCTCTGGGAGGCACTTCAGGACCCTTCAGACCAAAACCAGTAGACTCAGGAACAGCTCCTTCCCCACAGCTGTCTCCTTACTGAATTCTGTCCCCCGTTGACCTCCCACTGCCTTCCTCTATACCACTACCCACACCTCACCCCTTCTCATCTCTCCTCCCGGGTCTCATGCAACACACTTCTGTTACCTGTAACACTGAAGTGATTTGTTAATTAGCACATACTCTACTCATAGGATACTGCTCTGTATTCATTTGCACACTGTTCATATGCAGATACTGTATATTTATCTTTGTTCTATTTACATCCATTGAACGGTTCACTCATGTAACTTATCTTCTTATTCTGCACTGTTTCATTCCATTTCTTCCCACTGCACTAGTATTTTATAAGCTTAATGTCCCTTGTCCATTACTTGTAATTTGAATCCATAGTCAGTACATTACCCTACATATCTTACTGTAAATATCAATTGTACCTACCCATCAGTAATTTAGTTCTGACTCTTCATACTGTAGATACTGCACACTTTTCACTGCTGTTATGGCACTTCTGGTTAGATGCTAAACTGCATTTCATTGCATTTCATTGCATTGTACTTTTACATGGGTAATGGCAATAAAGTTGAATCTAATCTAATGTGCATTGTACACTGTAGATGTTTGTGGCCATCCAATAAAATGATGAACATACTGTGTCCTCTGACAAGTTCAATTTTTTGACTGCAAATTCTTATTTGCTCAAATATAAAATTGTCATCAGAGAGTTGAGAGTTTAAAAATGCAGTTCTAGTAAAAATCATACAGCCGACAGAACTTCCTCAATGAGTTGCCCAGGCTCCCTGTCCTGACTGGATCTACCCTATCTTCCCCCTGCAGTCTGTCTCTGCCATAGTTTCCCTCCCACCCCTCCCACCTTGACAGTTCAAAGTCTGGCAGCAACAGCCTGAAATGCACCTTACAATTTAAACCACTTCACCAATCACGAGCCACTTCGGCCATAACAGTCACTAGTAGCATTTGCACAACAAAGGAGAGACTAGCTGATTCATTAAGCCCCCCTCCACCCACCACTACCACCACCCTCCTCCTTCATTCCCTTCCCTTCCAATGTGACTCCTCCTCTCTTGCCTTTGTGCGTGTACCCAAAATCCCCTTCTATCCCCCCACCCACACTAATCTCCTTGTGCCAATTGGAAAGACTGCTTCGGGACTACCTCTCACTACAGTGAGACCCCCTCACCATGCACCCCGCAGGACACACAACACAATCTGGCCTCGTTTGCAGGCCCTCCTCCTCCTCCTCCTCTGCCTTACATCGAGGAAGCACAGATTAAAAACCACAAGCACACAGAAGCACAAGGTATAATTCTGGCTGTGGACTTGCATCACAAACAATCATAGCAATCACATGACCCTAATCCTGGATACACAGGAAATTTGCTTTGGTGCTTGTTCGTGTTGATGTACCCTAATTGCAACAAAAACAGCTGATAAAAAACATTGTTTATTTCTCTGCAGTGTGTTTTGCATTCAGTTGCACAATAACAGCATGTAATGTTATGAAATCAGAGGTGGACTCCTGGCTCCTCCTGCCACGTCTTCTGTTCCAGTGCTTAAATGCTCTGTCTTGGTAACATTACAGCTAATAGGGCCTTGTTCTTAGGGAATTAAAGACCCCACCACACACAACATATAAGGCTCCCATGGGGTCTGAGGGAGGCCAATATAGAGGTGAGCCCTTTGGTCTGCTTTGTATTTCAGTTGGTGTTCCTATAGCAACTCTGGTCTCAGAGAGGGACAAGGGGATGCCCTCTTCATTTTGAACACCATTAACACACACCACCCCCTGTCTTGTGCATAGTCAGGTGCCGTGGCCACCCCCCCATGCACACACACAAACCAACAGAGGAGGCTGTACTTAGTTGCGATTTAATGATGTAAGTGAAAGTTGAGGGATTAAGGTTTCAAACAATCATTTATATAGATCTATAAAAACCGGAAACTACAAACAAAACCATAACCATTTTGGCACAGGTGTAAAAAAAATGTAAAGTAAGATTTACAACCCTTGGTTTTTGTAATATCAGGCGTATTAAAATGCTGCCACAGCCTGAGAACCACTTCTGTCCCTCATGACAGGTGAATGACAAACTAGACTATTTTTCAACTTTTTGAAACTTCTTTTTTTCCACAACATATGTACAGGACCGGAACTCCAATCGATAAATGATGAACAGTAATGTCAATTTTTGATTATTTCAGAACTTAAAGGCATCAAACGTTTTTAGTATTCTGTTAAGTCCTTTTAAAGATCCTCCTCATCAGCCTGAGTATAGTGTTGTCCCTGAGCGCCTTGGAGGCCCTTTCCCATAGGCTGTGCTCCTTCCACAGACCCCTACCCTTCCTCTCAGCTCTGACCTCTGCCCTGTGCAGCCGTCTATGGAGGCGCCAGAAGAAGCGAGAGTCAGGCAGGACTCCAGTGAGGGGCGCAGTGCGAGCCAGACCAAGCCTGAGGACCTCTTCGTTCAGGCAGTAGCTCCAGACAGACCCCTGCTGGAGAAAAGATGGAACACAAGAAAATAACTCAGATGAAAAACTCTTATCAGTCTCACATGATGACAACCGTATCTTTTTTCAGACTGATAAGTCCCCACATCGCCTCAGTTACTAGATGCCTCACCCTGCTCTGGGATACCAAACAGTGCAGTATGTCGCCCTCTCGGCCGATCAGCTTTAGCCAGACTGTTTGGGCAGGAGCCAGGTTCTTCTGCAGCCATGCCCTCCCCTCTGGTGTCAGCTCCACTCCTGCAAGATGCACCAGTAACGGGGTCGTGCACACACCTGAAGAGAACGTTAAAGTGCTGTTTACCACGTGTTACAGTAGAGCATGGGTTACAGCAGTTTGTACTTATGCAAACTGTAGAATACTACTACTACATTTGTTTGTTACTAGAGCTAATATGAACTGAGTTTTTGGTAACAATACCAAAATGATACTGTTTGGTTAACTTCTTTAGCAGCTGTACAAGGAATCCAAAAGTCTAACACAGCATAAACTGGTGAAATGTTGCTTTCAATCAGGAATTATGTGATCATAACATAGTGTGAGTTAAGAACTTTGAAAGGTGGGAGGTCAAATGAAGGAAAGGTAATGTTTGAAAAAGTTAGATGACTCTGGTGAGTCACTAAAACATCTGATGCTGCACTCTATAAAACGCTCAAGCTGCTTGAGTTTACTCATCAGCAAGTATCGTGATTAGGTATAACAGCTAACCAGCTTATCTGTGACCCTCCCTCAGTCTGACTTCACAAAGTAAAACTGTCACAATGACATATTTGGTGTAACAGGACAAAAGGGTGCACCACTATCTCTGAACTGTGTTGTGTGACAGTGTGAATCCTTGATTTCACAAAGAAGGATACCCCCATTTTACCTCTGTGCTTTGAAAGTAATGGTGAGATGACTGGCAGGTAAATGGGGACGTGCTCCACTTTGAGTCCTTCCTCTGTAATCGAATGAACTTTCCCACGAAGGCTGATGTTCCTCTCAATAAAACGAGCAGGGATCTCAGATGCAGCTTGAAACTTGGTGATCTAAAAAGGTTGAGTGAAACAACCCAGTGGCAATGTTTCGAGTCAAACATAGTATCTAAAAAATTGCATTTCATTAACTTCCTACAAACGTGATCTCATAATATTTAATGAAATTTGGATTTAACTGGGCACAGTGATAGGAGCCTTTTGGTATTATTCAGACTGTTAGTCACGCAAGAGTGCTCAATACATTTTTTGCACCAGTTTGAAACAAAGGAGAGCTACTGTTATATATATGGAATGAGCAACGGCAAATGCATGTTAAATAAATAATGTGCACCTGTTAAGAGTTTGCAGAATCTGCAACTGAATAAACATTTGAGGGTCTGCATGCCAGTGTGTGCCTTTCGCTCTTACCAGTTTGATACTCCTGGCTATTATGATCACACCGGCGATCGCCAGCCCTGTGCTTACACTCTGTGTGAGAGACAAGAGAGCAGTGAAGTGTAGCCCTGACAGGGTGACACTGATACCATCAACTCAGCTGAGCATGTGTTGAGCACTTGACAATGAGAAAGACTTGACAGAGATGATAGTGACACAGGGATATCAAAATCCAGTGGGAACAGCTGGTGATGCATGACTGGTTATGAGGTGCCACCATATGGCACAGAGGAGCAGTTAAGAGGGAAGTGGTCCTGAGAGCTTACTTAGGCAGAGCAGTTTTTAAAGATTAAATGTAGATTCAGGTGGCGCAGATACAGTAAGGCAACACATTCATGCAGATAGCCTAAGTATCACCAGTCAGTTGCAGTACTGTTTGCACAGAGAGAAGACTCCTACCCGCACAAGCGTTAAATTATCATCTGCGAACTGAGATATTACAGACACGATGTTATGAGACGACTGGCTTCCGCGTTCTCTTTGTTGTCTGTCCCTTCGTGCCTCAGTTTCTGTTTCTCTGGAAGACTCCGGCATGCTGTTGACATTTTCTCGACGGGTCTGAGGCTCCGCCTATTTGGGAGGGACGTGTCGTTTCCAAACCAAACAGGGTGACGTTAAAGTGCGCCCAGAAAAACGTTGTGAAATGCCCCCCAACATTACAATAGTTTGAACTTTGTCCTGTGAGTGTAAATACAGTAGGCTTCATGCACATTGCAGCTTAGCCTAACAAATAAGTTGCAGGGATCAGTGACGTGCCCATTTTTTGTCTGCACAACTTGACCTAGATAACTTCAATATGTGCAGCAGCTATAAATCATTCCACAAAGCAAACGGTGTGGTCACGCAACAGAACTGCCCCGTTATTGATATTCATATTGATCATAGTTCATATTTTTTGCAGAAACACATGTTTCTCCGCAATACCTCCAAAATATTTCTCGTTTTCATGGAACAGTCACACACAGCCGACGTTTCGCTGTGAAACATGTTCAGTGACAGACATCAGTGAGGAGTGAGCCCTGGCTACATGACAGATGCACTGGAGCTTTCATCTTGTAAACTGTGAAGTCATGGAGCTACTTGAAGCCAGATGACGCCCCCATTACCACAAATTGGCCAATGGGAGTAGAGAGGCAGTTGTCCTCCTGGCCGCCATTAAAGAATTCAATCCATGGACTGAAATAATGGAAATTTGCGGGACCTATGGAGCAGACAGAGAATAGTAACCGATGAATTATCTTAATGATCTCACGTTTCGTCCGTTTTAAGAGGGGGTTTACTATGACGGAGCACTGTGGTGGTTTTAGTGAACAGGAGGGCGGTGTAGCCAATTGTTTTATTTAGCTGGCAAGCTAGCGTTGAAGCGCTGGTATGTTAGCTTGTGTGCTAGCAGGCTAGGAGAGATCAGGGGGAGGGGAGAGTTCCTTTGCTTTGAAATTGTTTCAGATGAGCTAGCTAGCTAGCATTAGCACTAGCGCACCAGAAACTAAGCTTTTGAGGTGAAGTTGTTTTTTTTTTTAGTTTTTGATCTCGTATATTTTTTTGTGCATATAACTTTTTCTGGTGTTTGATGTAACGTTAGTCTATCCGGGTCATGTTAAAGTTGACTATTTGAAGTTAAGGTAATGGAACAGGAAGCTTTCGGCTAAGCAGATCATACAATACATTTCATATAGGCTTGATGAATCGAATAGCTAGAGGCTTACAGTTGACGCTATCTGGTTGCCTGTCTAAGGCTAGCTTAGCGACCAGGCTAGTGGTAGCTAGCGCCGGTTAGAAGTTGTCTGACTAGCGGTCGCTAGTTGTAACGTTAGTCAGCAAGTTGGTCAGCGCTGTTAACGAGGTAATTACAGCGGAACATCGCTTTGTCAGTAGTTAACTGGATCAGCTATTGCTCCCGATGGTGATTGAGACAATGGACTTTAACGTTACAACGACGCAGTGAAAGGATGAGTTCGTGCTTTGTACCAAACGGGGCCAGTTTGGAGGACTGCCACTCCAACCTCTTCTGCCTGGTAAGACTACTGTTTGTGCGTTAGCTAGCGTTAGCTCTGATACTGAGAGGCCAGAAAGCCATTTTGGCTAATCAGGCAACAAGCTTTGTAACGTCAGTTGCAGACTGGCGTGAAGGCATCGGGCCTGCAACTAGCAAATCGTGATCTAGCTACCTTTCAGAACAGAGACAGCACATATTGCAGGATGACCATACTGAAGAGTTGCATATGAATACATTGCATGTTCGGGTATTAACCCTTCGTTGTTTCCAGAAATGTTTAGCTAACACTAACGTCAGGTTGCTTGATGGTAACAGGCAGGCCAACAGGTGAAACATTTAAAACCCATTAAGCAGACCGTATTATCTCTTTATTAATTTAAGTGACGCAGCAGAAATAAATGATGCACGGATGTGATTTGCATAATTGCTGTAGTAAATTAGGACACCTGATCCGATTTGAGACTGACCTGCAGTGGTAGTAGCTGCTAATAACTGCTGAGCAAATTACTGCATGACAGTTCTGTTTACATGCGTGATTGTGGTCACATGTACAAAGTATTGCCAAACTTTCCAACATGTTAGCAATTCTCAGTTGTACACCTTTTTCATGGAAATGCTTTCTGAATGACGGGACAAGCACTCTTCTGCATCTCATCACTGTCTGTCGGGAAGAAAGCTGTACAGTCCAGGACAGGTGACTGGCTTTAATGCTCTGTGCTCATTCTCATATTGTTTTTGTCCTTCTCTTTAGGCTGATCTGACCGGAATCAAATGGCGGCGTTTTGTGTGGCAGGGACCCACCTCCTCACCCATCCTTTTCCCTGTGACCGAGGAGGACCCCATCCTGTGTAGTTTCAGCCGTTGCCTGGCGGCAGATGTGCTGAGTGTTTGGAGGAGGCACCACACCCCTGGTCGCAGAGAGCTCTGGCTTTTTTGGTGGGGGGATGACCCCAGTTTCGCTGAGCTTATCCATAATGAGCTCTTAAGTAAGTTCATGCAACATTTCCATGCTTTCTCCACACTCACAAGGAGGATTTGTGATTCTCACAATATCGGTATTGATTACACTTACAGTATGGTTAATTAATCAGGGTAGAAAGCAGCAATATTTGTGCATCTGCTCTAAAGTATGTGTATCTTCAGTTCATACAATCTTAGCATTACTTCACTAATGACCCAGTTAGTCTAGGTGTGAAAATTCACAAGTGTAATTGCTGATTGTAATAACAGATACTTTCTCAGGCTTCTGAGCTGACAGAACTGCAGACAAAGTTGGTTCTTTTATAGAAACCTTGTTCATGTTTAAACATGTTTGGTGTCTGATGATAATGCCAAGCAGTCTAAACTGCAGCAAAGTTTTTAAAGGTGGTTTTAATGATGCAAAGTCTACTACTAAGTGATGATAATCTGATTAGTGACAAACAGGTCTTTCAAAGTCTCCAAAGACTAGCAGAGTCTCCTGGCTCTCAGCCACAGTGACACAGGCTTGTATTGCAACATTAGAGGAAGTTGTGTATCACTTGACACAGTCCTTGTTCGTTCTGGCTTATTAATATTCATATTTGTGGGGAAGAAAATGCTCTCAGGGGATTGCTGACTAGGTATTTTGTTTCCTGTATCAAAGAGGGTCAGGTGTTACTTGAAGACAACACAGATTAGTAAATGCAGAGACAGAAAGCAAATCTTAGCCAAACTGCAGACAGACATGGAAGGTTTAATTTTGAGTTTGAAATGTACACTGATGACCAGAATCTAAAAAGTTCCAAAACAAATACAGAACATTTAACAAGAAGGCTTCACTTTATATAAACAGCTTCACAAATGTTCTGTCACACATTACTGGACTGAATTTGTTTTGGCCCCTTTTATTGCATAATAACCAGTTGGATCAATGTTTAACTGGAAATGTTTTACATGTGCTCAAAAGGGAGACTGTGTTTTAAACCAAAATTAAGTGTTCTGGTGTGTGTCAGACCCATCTAACACTCCACAGTTTATACTTAACATGAGGCAGGAAGGAGCGAGACTGGTTTGTTAAAAGTATCTGGCTTAATGTATGTGCCTTGATTTTAGGTGAGGAGGACGGTGAGTGGGAGAGTGGTCTGTCCTATGAGTGTCGAACGCTCCTGTTCAAAGCCATCCACAACCTGCTGGAGCGCTGTCTCATGAACCGCGGCTTTGTTCGCATTGGCAAGTGGTTTGTTAAGCCGTACCAGAAGGACGAGAAGACCATTAATAAAAGGTATGTCTTGCTTCCTAATTGCAGACAGCAACATTATAGGACAAGCCATAAATTCTTAAATCAAAGCTGTGACTCAACAAATGGTCCGGTTACAGGCCCCAGCTGGGATCAGTGGGATTTACCTGTATCTCTGCCTGTTAGTATAGCAACACAGGCATGCCTGACTCTGCCATCTGTCAGTTTCTCTTTTTAGTCTTTTTACAGAAATACCCCAGCTCACTGGTTGGTTTTGATTCTGCATATTTCCTGCAGATGTTTGACAGTCAAATCCTTCCAGTCGAAACGACTTTAAACCTCAGAAGTGAGAAAAGGGTAGTGGTCAGCTGAATCAGTGACAAGACTGTTGTCACTGTCAACCTCTGTATCAACAGTGAAGATGCTTTACACCTACATCCTAAAGGCTAACATTTACGTTTACCACGAGGCAGTTGTTTTTGGTATACGGCACAGACGTTGAGGATAAATAGGGCAGCAGAACAAGATGTCCAGAATTGTACTTGCTGTACTGAAGAGCTGAACATTAGGTTTGTATTGGAGTACTGGTGCAGATGTGCAGCATGTAGGGGTTGGCTGTTACAGCTCTCTCTTGTAAAGAGCTGGATTGACTGTGACATATTTGTTGGGAGCAGTGTTGGAAACATGCATGATGAATATTGCGCAGAGCCAACAAAGAAGAGCTTGTTCAAGGCATTTTAACTACATATGACTATGTGTGTTATGCATGTGTGTCCTCATTGTTATGGAAGTTGGGCTTTAAAGTTTCCAACACAATTCCTGGCCTCTTGACAGCCATTAAGTGTTAAAATTCCTATTTGGGATTCAATTGGTGAAATGGTGCTTGCAGCTGTACTCTTTCAGCTATGTTGTTACAAGCTTATAGTTTGCAGTTTTTACAAAAACAAAATTGATTCCTGGAATTAAATCGGATGTAATAATGTGACAGAGTGTGACAGGATTATTACAGTGTTTAACTACATCAGCACCATGTCACACTTTTCATCTGGTTTCACAAGTGAGATGCATGAAATAATGGTCACGCAGCAGTTTGCCTAATCAGTTTAGACTTTTTTTTTTTTATCCTAATGGAGTAACACTTCAGGGTCAGGTTTAATGTCTACACCTACACCTTTCTCAACTGCAAGGTGAAACTGGTCTTTGTTGTAGAAATACAAGCTTGAGGTGAAGCAGCAGCACATAAATATAGGCCTAGTGCATAGCCTGGTTCTGCTGTATTTTCCTTACTCCCTGTGCATAAGGGTGGAGACAGATTTAGCATTCCCCCTTGCTCTTGAACGAGGGGGCTGGGGAAACCTGGGCTGTCCAGACAAGCCAATTGGAGGCTGGGACTTCTGGCTGTGTTGGTCCAAGCTGACTTGTGTTTGATGCACGGCCCTTTGGCTCAGTTCCCTCTGACAGCTTTGTCAGTGGTTCCAGAAAGTTTTAGCAGCTACATAAAAGCGTTGTTGCATAGAGCAGGAGGGGATTCCTGCCCACTGGTGTTTAGCTTCTGTTTCTACATAAAGACGTCTACAAGTGTGTGTTTGTGTTGAGACAGCAGCACAGCACATCTGACAGAAGAGACTGGAGGTCTGGCTGTTGCCTGCCACTCTGGCTGGTAAACAAAGCAGTCTTTGGAAAATGCTGTGTGTGCACTGTGGTTTTACAGCAGCCATGTTAACAAGCACTTATATAGCTTATTTAGTAGCCTGGTCGTGTACAAGTACTTAGAAAAGGATGGATATAGTTTTCTTCCCATGGCTATAATAATCTTCCATGTTTATTTTTGGTTCATACTCTTTTACATGTACATTTGCAAGATTTGAGTGTGTGTGTGCGTTATGTGCGCCACCTGATTGGAAGTACTAGCAGGCATTTGTGTTTCTGTGGAAGCAACAGTTGTCACCTGAAAACATGATATTCATCGACATGCCCTAGCCAAATGTGCAAGAAATTTTCTCACACCATCTCCACCCTTTTCAGTCCTCCATCCACTTGAGTCATTCCTTAACAACTGATGTAGAGCCTGGAGTGCTGACAGCAAAGTGAAGCTCATGCCAAGTGTGTTAGTTTTTATGTAATGATGTCGGCATGCTTGTGGACTGATATCTCTAAACATTTCAATGCCTCTTTATCTTTGCCTCCTGCTGCAGTGAGCACCTGTCTTGCTCGTTCACCTTTTTCGTACACGGTGACAGCAATGTGTGCACAAGTGTGGAGATCGCTCAACATCAGCCTCTTCAGCGGCTGAGCGAGGAGCACCTCAGCCTCGCCCAGCAGAGCTCCAGCCCCCTACAAGGTGGGATCACAAGAGTTTCACTCAGTAGTGGTGGTTTACATATGAACTGCTGTTATGTCTTTATACAGGGTTTTGAATTGGCTTTATTAGTGGAGTTTGTCTGCAATAAGTATTGTGACTCCTCTGCCCTGCAGTCATCCTGAGCCCCTATGGTTTGAATGGGACCCTCACCGGCCAGGCTTTTAAGATGTCAGACCATCCTACTCAGAAGCTCATTGAAGAGTGGAGGCAATTTTATCCCATTGGCCCAAATCCCAAGGAGGTCCAGGAAGACAAGCTGGAGGATGCAGACTGGGAGGATGACTCTCTGGCAGCTGTGGAGGTCCTCGTCGGTAAGGCCTCAAAAGGTTTTTATAATGTGCTGATATGATGTCACCAGCTTTTTCCTTTAACATAGTGGTGGACTGCGGTGCAGTGCATGGCTGCAACTGAGTCCAAAAATGTAAAAAAAAAAAAAAATTCTCCTTGAGCCATCAGTGCCTGTTTATGAAAATGCTTTGGTGGGTTAGAGAAAATCGTAGAGTAAAATTGTTGGGTTTAAGTTTGATCATTGCAAAAAAGTGACAGTGGACTTTTCTGTTTTGTTTTTGTATTAAATAACTGTGTTTGGTTCCAGCGGGAGTGAGGATGGTTTACCCTTCCTGCCTGGTGCTTCTGCCACTGTCGGACCTCCCTGCTGTGGTCCCTCAGGGCTCAGCTAACACCTCAGGAAGCATGTGCAGCGCTCAGCAGGGCCAGGCTGCTCACAGAGATCCCGCCATGTCCTCTGTCACGTTGACTCCTCCAACATCACCAGAGGAGGCTCAGACAGGTAAGTCAAGGACCTGCACACTAACCATAATTAAACACTTGGAAATTTTTCAGCCTTTATTTCTGTGAAATTCTACATCTTGACAGTTTTGCTCCTTGTCTTACTTTACTTCATAGATTACCAGCCTGCCCAGAGGTGGCTCAAGTTGTCCTCTGCCTCCGATGGCTACAGTTCTAATAACACTCTTCATGGGGGTAAAATCCCACGGAGGCTGGCCGGCCAGATGGTTGAGTGTGTGTGGCAGGAATGTAACATAAACCGTACAGGGAACAAGTATGTTTAATGTCATGTCTTCCTCAGTAAATTGCCATTGCTGTCCTCATGCTGACTGATAAAGTGTCTCTGTCCTCTTTCAATAGGAGAAAGTTTACTGCCTTGACAAATGGAACCTCTGAGGAGGAGTTGGACAAAACTGAATTTTGGGATTTTGTGGAGCCATCTCACAGGCTGCATTGCAATTGTTCGAGGTGTGTTAGGTGGAATGCATTCATCAGTGCGTTTTATGCACGATTTAAAGAAAGTGTCTTGTAATTTTTATTTGTTTTCACAGACATAAGAATCAGAAGCAGCGATCAAGCAGCACCTCAGGACACACGCCTTTATCAGGCCAGACTGTCCAGCCGACCCCCAAGCACAAGCTGGCCGAGAAGCTGGAGAAAGGGGAGAAGCAGCACAAGAGGCCACAGACGCCTTTTCACCACCGCAATTCTGTGAGCGAGGAGCAGTCCCTGGAGCCACAGACCCAGAGGCTGTGTTTAAGATCACAGGAGGAGGGCTCCTATCCCAGCCTGCACCATGTTGACACAGCACCCTCAAAAGCCCCCACGCTGCATACACATGGGCCTCCTGCAGACCTTGTCGGATCCCCGCCTCCCCCTCCTCTCAGCCCACATCCCTGCGATCACGTAGAAGGTGACATGACTCCCGGTGGCATGAAGAATTCATCCACGCCCATTCACCAACCGTTCTACCCGCCATCTGTGGAACCCTGTCTGTTGCCACAGAAGTGCTCATCTGAGGAGCCTCAGCTGGAGAACATGCCTCTGCCCTTCCCCTCAGCCTACAATGAAACCTTGGAACCCACTGTTTTTGTTGGTTCAGCCATCAACCCCAATGAGGACTCCAGCCACAACCCCTGGAAATATTTCAACCTTCCCAAGAGGAAGACGGCCAGCTTCCCGACACCCCAGTTACCTATGGATAAAGTACGAGATGATTATGGTGGAGGGGGAGGAACAGAAAATGTCATTTCTGTCACTGAGTAAGTTGTTGGTAGCTCATCAAATGTAGCTGTTCATATAAACAGTATTCTCACATCTGTCTGATTCTTTCTGCACAATGACTCTCCTCTCAGGGTGATGTCGAGCTCTACTCAGCACCTGAAGGTGTCCCAGGAGCTGGTCAAGACATATGCCCAGCGGAGAAACAGCCATCTTGCCTCCGCCACAGGAGATGGAGAACACATCGAGAAGCCCGATCCTTATGCGTTTGTAGACGAGCCGTTCAGTTTCACCGAGAAGAAGGACAAGCCTGGAGCTGAGAGAGAGGGCAACAAGAAACACAAGGTTAGGGTTGAATGCAGGGGTTGAGGATCACGCACTGTCCCAGGATTTCTCACTAAAATCTGCTTCAGTTTTCTGGTGAAGTACCTGCAGGAACCTGGATTTTTCAATATGGAGGGAGTTGCATATTCCTGAAAATAATTTTCAAATCACAGAAGAACCTTAAAAATAATTCCTGACAAAGTGTTTAATGCCAGAGCACCATCAGGTTATGGTTTTAAAGTTTATTTTCTATCACGCAAGTTTTTGGTATGCTTGACAGAATCAGTCTTGTTTCCTTACTCCATCAGAATATTTACTGCTGTTATTTCAGACTATATTGCTCTTGAGCTAAAGTGTTGTTTGTTAAATGAAGAAGCAACATGTTTATATTCCTCACATCACTGAGGTATTGGAAAAACAGCTGCATCATTTGGTATCGGTACTGAAACTTGGGTGTGTCTCATATCTCACGAGCACCGATCAGTATTCTGAACAGTGCTCAGCTCTGCCCATATTCCAGTTTAGTTCTTACCGCTCAAACACCAAATTCCACATTTGTACGTAGTGTCGCATAGACTTGCAGAAAGTTCATCACACTGGACACAGTTTTCTGTGTACGTTCCCTTCAGGTGGTTCTCTGTGCACATGCTTGGTGAAATAAAAAAGCAGCACATTTATTAGTGGTAAACACTCCACAGGTTAATTTTAACATGTGGTGATTTTCAGAATAAGTTTAATAACAGAACCTTGTGCACAAACAGAGATCCCTGATACTTGTCTACCGTAAAGTAATGGTTTTCCCGCAACATTTCAGTAATTTCCCTGATCAGTTATTTGTTTTTGTCACAGGTGGATGAAGGAATTGGAACATCAGGAGATGGTGAGAATGCCTTCCTTCTGTCCATTTGGCCTTCATTAAATAAAATGTTCAGGTTGGAGTCTTATTCGGGGTCTCCTCTCCAATGTGTTTTGTGGTGCAGATGGTCAGGGTCCATCAGGCAGTAAAGCTTCAGCCTCCACCAGCCTCATCCATGAGAACGACTTGGCTGTGTCCTATAGTGACCTGGATAAAATCTTCAATTCAGACGAAGACGAGCTCACAGTACGTTGACGATGTGGGCCTGACACTTGTATTCTTTATATCTTAACTACACTCAGGACCCAGTTTTGATGTGGTCCTGTAAGATACCGTATGCAATACTAGGCTAAATAAACATGATTGATACTGAGTTTATATATTGAACATATAGTTTTGTTTTTCTTGTACATGCAGCCTGGATCCAAAAGAGTTGGAGTCGGTACAGAGGACAAATTTGGCAGTAAAGAGGCTAAACCAGCCACGCTGGACCCATTGTCATGCATAAGTAAGAATACTGTGCCACAGTTAGGTGTCATACATTGTTAGTTTATACACTTTGTTTCACAAGAAGCAATTTCTCCTTTCTCTAGGTTCAGCCGAC